TGTGTGTTGGGGGCTACAGCACACCTGTCTGCCCACCAATTCAGGGGAACTGGGGGCTACCCAGCAACTGCAAGGAGAGCCCATTACTGGCCCCCTCCAGCACACAGCCTTGGAAGGGACAGCAGGCAGAGAGGAGGCAGGACCCCAGCACAGGAGTGGCAAGCAGGGACAGAGGTACAAAGGCCCTCTAATCCCAGGAACACCACGCTCACTGGCCTGAGTCCTGTTTCCAGTGCAAAGGGCAGAAAGCCCTGCGCACCCCTCCACCCCCTGCCCCCAGCAACCCAGAGTGGCTCCTATGAGGCTTGTCCTCTGCATGCAACCAGGCTGGCCCCAAGCCAGTTTTCCTTAGTGGGAAAGAGGCCTGGAGAGACAGGGGCTGTGACTCTAAAGCAGGCTGTCACCATGGTAATCATGCCAACCCCCTTTCACCCCCTCAGAAACTTTTCAATCTCCCGTTTGTCTTGGTAAACAAAAGGCCCTTCTCCCACTAACTAATGGCTGGCTGGACAGCCAGCCAGGGCTAGAGAGGTCTGGCTAGAGGGATGCCCTGGCCCCTTTACCCATCAGCTTCAGTCCCCAAGACTTCCTAGGATGCAGACAGCATACCACAGCCCTCCCCCAAGTATGCTGGGGGGCCCACACAAGGGCCCAGCCCCAACAGGCAACAGGCCCCCTTGTTGAGCCCCTGCTGTAACCCTCTGGAGACAGGCACCGTCTTGGAGAAGCACAAAGAACCCTATTCCCCAGCAACAAGGCTTGGCTCCACAATGGGACAGGCTCCCAAGGGCCAGACAGGCCACCAAAGTGGGACAAGATCTACCCGTGCCCAGGGCCACACGAAAGAGTCCCAGGCAGACCTGTGCTTTGACTTGCACATCATTCCGACTTGGTGTTTTATTAAAATGAGAGATTTGAAATGAAAATCTGTATTCTAGCTCTTAACAATACCCTGCATGTTTTAGAACAGCATGCCTGCCCTTCTACACAACACCAACGGCTAAGAGCTCACATCAGGTGAGGTCCAGCCCCCACCTGACCATCATCACCCTCTGCCTGGAGTCCGCAGACACACAAGGTTACAACCCACCACACAAACAAGGTAGACGCAAGGGGAGAGACAGGGAAGAGGAGGCCGGATCCAGGCCCCAGGGTGGGTGGCCAGAGGGCAGGAAAGGTGCCTCTGCCCCAAAAGCAAAGGAGTCTTTGGGGCTCTTCCCACCCCGCCCCCAGCCAGGTCTCTCTGGGCCCAGGGATGCGCAGGCAGGCAGGTGGGCAGGCGGGCCTAAGGGTGCGGATGCTGAAGGTCAGTACCTGCGGAGGTTTCCATCTGTCTCCCGCTGCCACCACTGCCGCCGCTGGCTCGGACCCCCCTCCTTGCTGGCCATTGACCTGCTGCGGCAGGAAGGAGATGCTGTAACGGACAGTCACAAGGCCCGTCCCCCCAGACCCTCTCTCACCTTTCCTAGCTAAGGGCTGAGCTCCCCACAGATGAGTGGGGCAGCTGGGGGGCACACGAGGGACCTGGCCTGGCCCCAAACCTTCCTGATACTATCCCTCACCCCGCCCATTCCTCCAGCACAACTACAGCTATCCTGAGCCCTGGCACAAGGCGCCAGCCTGGCAGAAACCACAACAGAATCTGGGGCAGCTCTGAGTTGGCAGCAAGTCACCAGGCAGGGCCAGGGCAGAGGAAAGAAAGTTGTGCTATGCTCCTGCCCCAAGCTCAGGACAGGCATCCTCCCCTGGACCTGGCTATCTAACTCCAGGGAGGGCAGCTGAGGGCTTGGCCACACCCAGAGAGGCCAGAGAGCACCACAGGAGCACTGCCCTGCAGAGCCTGCCCAACGGAAGCAGCAGCTCCCGACATGGCTGAGCAGGGGGGCAGGAGACAAAACAAGCCCGGAGCAGGGGGCAGGCAATGTCATGACTGGGGCACTGGTGGAAGAGCTCTGGGACCAAGTCCACCTTCTCAGAGGTCACACAGCAGGAACTGAGAGCAGAATGCACCCACCCCACTTCCAGCTCAAGGACAAGACCCACAGGGGATGGCCATGCCCACCCTTGGGGCCCTGTGCCCAGAGCCAGAGGCAGGCTGACTGGGCCAGAGTGTCTCAGGCACTCAGCCTCAAAGGAGGGGCAGAAGCACAAGCCTGGCTGCACTGGAAAAGTGGCAATGGACACAGAAACTATGATCGCCCCAGCCCTGTGCTCAGCCCCGCACTGCTTAGAAATGATGCCCCAGGCAGAGCCCGAGCAGAGAGGCCTTGCTCACACAAGTGCCCTCAGTGCTGCACAGCAGCTGGGGATGGGATGGGAGTCTGGCTTTGCCCCAAGTCCTCTGGCAAACCCCAGGGGGCACACCCAAAGCAGAGGCTGCCTCTCAAGGGCCACGGCAAAAGGTTGCTTCTGGCGAAGCCATCCAGTTCCCAGGTCCCCGAGAACAGGGCCAGCTTGAAGGCACATTTGTAAATAAAGTCCTGTTGATGGAATAGCCAACACAAGAATTAAGACGCTTCTGAGAGCAGAACATGTCTCAGAGAAGATGTCCCAGGAAAAGTAGGTCCACCAAGGGACTGTACGCAGGACATCCCACCCACCCACAAAAGAAACTAAGTTTGCAGTCCCACTGGGTCTTGGGTCTGATTCTAAGCAGACGCTAAGTCCCTGGAGTAAGCTATCACTTATCATCAAAACTAGTCACACACAGTCATCCCCTGTCAATGAAAAGGGCAGGCTTTGCAGTTGCTAAAATCCCTAAGCAGCAAGGAGGGTGGGTACCAAACTGAGGGCAATGCAGGCCCCTAACTCTGGGACCCAATGGCACTGCCACTGCTGCTCAACAGCCCAGGGTAAAGAGGATCATGTCCATCACAAAACCAGAAAGTAAAGTGATCACCTAACACCTCCAGGCTATTCGGGCCCATACCCAAGGGCACACAGATGACTCAATGAGTCACTCGTGTAAAGGACTAAAGGTGATCGCTGCATGAGGCAAGCAAAGCATAGGATTTCCTAACGGTTAGTACTGTTCAAACACCCAGCATCAAATCCCCAGGGTAGAGTGGCTGCTGGATGCCACCTTCTGCCTGGTTCCCTTCACCTCTTGCCATGCCGTCTACCACGTGGCTGGACCCTGTGTGGGCACTGCAGATGCAGCAAAAACACAAGAGACACACCAACCAGCACCTACAGGAGTCGATTTCTGTGGCTAACAAACACTAGAAAATCAGGCGCAGAGTGGGAAGACACGATGAAGCATGCTCAGCTGGAGCAGTGAGGAAAGGCCTCTCTGCAAGTTGACATACAGCTGAGGCCTTCAAAAGGGAAGAAAACTGTACCCATGGGAGGAGAGAGGGTCCCAGTGTTCCTGCCAGACGGAACCCAACAATGATGACCCCCAGGAAGGACTGAGCCCAGATATCAGAGGAAGGGGAAGAGGACAGCAGCGAGTCAGAGGCACAATGTGGCCAGAAAACCATACCCTGCTGGGACGAGACTGCAGCCTGTTTCTGTAACCACCAGGTGGTAGGCACACCCAAGTGAGAAGAGGCTTGTCTGCATCTTCCTGCATCCTTCCCTACATATCACAGCCAAGGTCAGTGCCACTCCATCCCACCTCCCACTGAGCTGAAGCCACAGCTTAGGACAGCAAATAGCACTGCTCAGCAGGCACAGACCACAGGACAGAGAACAGGCTCTCATTACACCTAACTGGACAGCAGGAGACAACTTTTCTAGAACCTATCCACTCTAAAGATTAGAGGACAAACATGTTAGACCATAGGCTGGAATTCACTTCCAGAGTCTGACACGGTAAGCCTGAGGCTTTATGGTCTATACACATCCATAAGTGTGCGTGTACATATACACCGACCTCAAGAGGATTTGTGTGGGCAACAAACACCCCTATTTAAAGTCTCAACTTGTAAGTTTCAATTTATTGTCCATGTCCACATCTACTATACCACCCATGTCTGGCACTATGCCACAGCAGAGCCTGAGCCCCAGTTCTACCCCTCCATCCCCAGGGGTTGGGGGGCAATGCCAGCCTCAAGCACCCACCAAGGCCGGGGCATGGTGTTTACGTTCCTCTGCAGACAGACACCTGGGCAGACAAGGAATCCACTCTCAATGGCCTCTCCTCCTCCACCTTCTGCACCTCCCCAGGAGTCTCTGTTCTTCTCCCCAAGTCTTCCTCTCCTTTACAACCCAACTCTGACTGCTGCCCAGTAGAGTCACCAAGTCCTCAACCCACACCTCTTCTTTTCTAACTTCCTCTACAGAAGTCATTCACTCCTATGGCTGCAACGAGGAGGGCATGGTAGGAAGAGGGCAGTGAGGCTAGCCAGACCTAAGAATCACACCCGGGGCCCCCCTCATAAGCTGCCCAGTGAGACAGGTTCAGCCCCCTCACTGGTTGTCAATCCCCAGCTCAGGGGGCCTGGCCAGGGCAGGCTAAGTACACCCCCTGACCCTCAGATGTCTTCCCTTTCAATCCCAGCCTCCAACCACCCGAAAAAGCTGCCTTCTCAAAGAGACCTCACCGTATCACTCTGAGTTTGGGTTGGAGGTGGGTTCAGGTAAATAAAGGGATGAAGTGCCGCTGCCCTGAAAGGTAGAAAGGGAACCACTCACATAAGCCAAATGGGGAAGAAAAAGGGTCCTAGATGACTTCACCAAGGGCGTATCGTGCGAGCAAGGGTTCTCCATCTACGCTAATCACTCTGCAAGGCTGAAGGAGAGATGAGCACCGCGCAGGGGAGTGTCTCCTTCCTCTAGGTGCCCACACCGGCCTGAGCACGGCTCCCTTGGGCACGCAATAGGTGGCACCCTGGGTGGGAACTGGTCTTCGGTGCCCACCAGAGCCCTGAACACGACAGGGACTGCATCTGGCTCCCCGCTCTGCCCCCAAGTCCTCGTACAACGCCTGAGACAAAGCGACGTGTGATGAGAGAGCACGTCCTCCTCTTCCAGAGGGGGGATAACAAGACAGCCCGTCAGCTGANGAAAGAGTCCTTGAGAGACTGAGAAGCACAACGCCTCGTGGGGATGGCTGCAGGCACAGGAGGAAGAGAAGGAAGAGGCGGTGGAGGCGGTGGGGAGGGGCGGCGGAGGCCCCCAGCCCAGGCGGGCGGGGCGGGGCGGGGCGGCCTCCAGCAGGGCCGGCCGAGGGCGCGCCAGGGGCTCACCTGCAGGTTGGTGAGCTGCTGCTGCTGGTGGGCGATGGTCTGCTTCACCAGCACGCTCTTGATGCTCTGCTCCATGGCGTACTTCTTGGCCTGCGAGAGGAGGAGGTGAGGAGCGCTGGGGCCCGGCCTGCGGGGACACGGGCCATCCTCCGCCCCGACCGGCTTCCCGGGCCCGCAGCGCCCTGCGAGGTGCGCGCTCACCTTCTGGAGGGCCTCCTGCTGCTCGGGCGTCAGGGGAGGCAGTCCCAGCTTTGCGGCTGTGCTCTGCCCGTTCTCCATCTTGATGGAGTCTGTCCCCTGGTGGTGGGGAGCAGGGAAATTGTTAAGAACAAGCTCAAGGCCTCCCTCACGTGCCTCTAGAAGCCTTACCCCGCCTGTCTCCCACCACAGCACATGGTCTCCAGACCAGCCCCCAAGCAGGGACAGGCAGGTCCTGCACAGACTGTCTCCTGCCTGGCTGGACATGGCTCTGCTCTTCTGGCCTTCCTGTGTCTGTCCCCAGGCCTGCCTGGCCCAGGACCCACAGGGAAGGCATACACTGAGGCAAGCGGGTACCTCAGGGACCCTGGGCTGACCTGGAGCAGCTGTGGGGCCCAGGCCACAGTGGCCTCTTCAGGAGCTACCGAGACGGGCAGCAGGTGGCAGGGAGGCCCAGCTCTTGTGGCAAGTCTGACCCCAGAACCCCCACCCAAGGTCATGCAAGAGCCAGCCTCAGCTGTCCAAGACAAGAGAAGAAGACTAGGGCTCTCCGGGTATTGCGGCACCCCACCACCCACACGCTTTGTCATGGCCACAGCTTGGGAAGGGTTCCGAGGACCATTCAAGGAATGAGTACAGGAAAGGGCCTCCCTCCCAGCACAGCTCCTTGCAATGTAGCATCCCCCACTCCTGCACACTGTGCACACTGCCCCAAAGACCCAGATCCACTCCCCCAGGCCACACAGCCCCCGGGAGGACTCCAGCCCACCTCCAACAAACTCCTCCCTGGGGTGTACTTAGCCCTCTGGGGAGAGAAGCCAGTAGACCAGCCAGAGCAAGGGGACAGAAGTGAACACCCACCAGCACCCTAGCCAGGCGAGCACGGGGATCAAGAGATGCTGGGGTGGGGGTGGTGTAGTCACAGCCCACTGCAGACCAGAGCGGATACCAGTGAGACAATGTTTACACTTCTTCTGTTAAAACTCATTTCCAAGCTGTTGTAGGGGGAAGAAACAGCCATGTAAGCGGGAAGAGAAGCAAAGCCACCAGACCAAGGATGTGTGTGTTGGGGGCTACAGCACACCTGTCTGCCCACCAATTCAGGGGAACTGGGGGCTACCCAGCAACTGCAAGGAGAGCCCATTACTGGCCCCCTCCAGCACACAGCCTTGGAAGGGACAGCAGGCAGAGAGGAGGCAGGACCCCAGCACAGGAGTGGCAAGCAGGGACAGAGGTACAAAGGCCCTCTAATCCCAGGAACACCACGCTCACTGGCCTGAGTCCTGTTTCCAGTGCAAAGGGCAGAAAGCCCTGCGCACCCCTCCACCCCCTGCCCCCAGCAACCCAGAGTGGCTCCTATGAGGCTTGTCCTCTGCATGCAACCAGGCTGGCCCCAAGCCAGTTTTCCTTAGTGGGAAAGAGGCCTGGAGAGACAGGGGCTGTGACTCTAAAGCAGGCTGTCACCATGGTAATCATGCCAACCCCCTTTCACCCCCTCAGAAACTTTTCAATCTCCCGTTTGTCTTGGTAAACAAAAGGCCCTTCTCCCACTAACTAATGGCTGGCTGGACAGCCAGCCAGGGCTAGAGAGGTCTGGCTAGAGGGATGCCCTGGCCCCTTTACCCATCAGCTTCAGTCCCCAAGACTTCCTAGGATGCAGACAGCATACCACAGCCCTCCCCCAAGTATGCTGGGGGGCCCACACAAGGGCCCAGCCCCAACAGGCAACAGGCCCCCTTGTTGAGCCCCTGCTGTAACCCTCTGGAGACAGGCACCGTCTTGGAGAAGCACAAAGAACCCTATTCCCCAGCAACAAGGCTTGGCTCCACAATGGGACAGGCTCCCAAGGGCCAGACAGGCCACCAAAGTGGGACAAGATCTACCCGTGCCCAGGGCCACACGAAAGAGTCCCAGGCAGACCTGTGCTTTGACTTGCACATCATTCCGACTTGGTGTTTTATTAAAATGAGAGATTTGAAATGAAAATCTGTATTCTAGCTCTTAACAATACCCTGCATGTTTTAGAACAGCATGCCTGCCCTTCTACACAACACCAACGGCTAAGAGCTCACATCAGGTGAGGTCCAGCCCCCACCTGACCATCATCACCCTCTGCCTGGAGTCCGCAGACACACAAGGTTACAACCCACCACACAAACAAGGTAGACGCAAGGGGAGAGACAGGGAAGAGGAGGCCGGATCCAGGCCCCAGGGTGGGTGGCCAGAGGGCAGGAAAGGTGCCTCTGCCCCAAAAGCAAAGGAGTCTTTGGGGCTCTTCCCACCCCGCCCCCAGCCAGGTCTCTCTGGGCCCAGGGATGCGCAGGCAGGCAGGTGGGCAGGCGGGCCTAAGGGTGCGGATGCTGAAGGTCAGTACCTGCGGAGGTTTCCATCTGTCTCCCGCTGCCACCACTGCCGCCGCTGGCTCGGACCCCCCTCCTTGCTGGCCATTGACCTGCTGCGGCAGGAAGGAGATGCTGTAACGGACAGTCACAAGGCCCGTCCCCCCAGACCCTCTCTCACCTTTCCTAGCTAAGGGCTGAGCTCCCCACAGATGAGTGGGGCAGCTGGGGGGCACACGAGGGACCTGGCCTGGCCCCAAACCTTCCTGATACTATCCCTCACCCCGCCCATTCCTCCAGCACAACTACAGCTATCCTGAGCCCTGGCACAAGGCGCCAGCCTGGCAGAAACCACAACAGAATCTGGGGCAGCTCTGAGTTGGCAGCAAGTCACCAGGCAGGGCCAGGGCAGAGGAAAGAAAGTTGTGCTATGCTCCTGCCCCAAGCTCAGGACAGGCATCCTCCCCTGGACCTGGCTATCTAACTCCAGGGAGGGCAGCTGAGGGCTTGGCCACACCCAGAGAGGCCAGAGAGCACCACAGGAGCACTGCCCTGCAGAGCCTGCCCAACGGAAGCAGCAGCTCCCGACATGGCTGAGCAGGGGGGCAGGAGACAAAACAAGCCCGGAGCAGGGGGCAGGCAATGTCATGACTGGGGCACTGGTGGAAGAGCTCTGGGACCAAGTCCACCTTCTCAGAGGTCACACAGCAGGAACTGAGAGCAGAATGCACCCACCCCACTTCCAGCTCAAGGACAAGACCCACAGGGGATGGCCATGCCCACCCTTGGGGCCCTGTGCCCAGAGCCAGAGGCAGGCTGACTGGGCCAGAGTGTCTCAGGCACTCAGCCTCAAAGGAGGGGCAGAAGCACAAGCCTGGCTGCACTGGAAAAGTGGCAATGGACACAGAAACTATGATCGCCCCAGCCCTGTGCTCAGCCCCGCACTGCTTAGAAATGATGCCCCAGGCAGAGCCCGAGCAGAGAGGCCTTGCTCACACAAGTGCCCTCAGTGCTGCACAGCAGCTGGGGATGGGATGGGAGTCTGGCTTTGCCCCAAGTCCTCTGGCAAACCCCAGGGGGCACACCCAAAGCAGAGGCTGCCTCTCAAGGGCCACGGCAAAAGGTTGCTTCTGGCGAAGCCATCCAGTTCCCAGGTCCCCGAGAACAGGGCCAGCTTGAAGGCACATTTGTAAATAAAGTCCTGTTGATGGAATAGCCAACACAAGAATTAAGACGCTTCTGAGAGCAGAACATGTCTCAGAGAAGATGTCCCAGGAAAAGTAGGTCCACCAAGGGACTGTACGCAGGACATCCCACCCACCCACAAAAGAAACTAAGTTTGCAGTCCCACTGGGTCTTGGGTCTGATTCTAAGCAGACGCTAAGTCCCTGGAGTAAGCTATCACTTATCATCAAAACTAGTCACACACAGTCATCCCCTGTCAATGAAAAGGGCAGGCTTTGCAGTTGCTAAAATCCCTAAGCAGCAAGGAGGGTGGGTACCAAACTGAGGGCAATGCAGGCCCCTAACTCTGGGACCCAATGGCACTGCCACTGCTGCTCAACAGCCCAGGGTAAAGAGGATCATGTCCATCACAAAACCAGAAAGTAAAGTGATCACCTAACACCTCCAGGCTATTCGGGCCCATACCCAAGGGCACACAGATGACTCAATGAGTCACTCGTGTAAAGGACTAAAGGTGATCGCTGCATGAGGCAAGCAAAGCATAGGATTTCCTAACGGTTAGTACTGTTCAAACACCCAGCATCAAATCCCCAGGGTAGAGTGGCTGCTGGATGCCACCTTCTGCCTGGTTCCCTTCACCTCTTGCCATGCCGTCTACCACGTGGCTGGACCCTGTGTGGGCACTGCAGATGCAGCAAAAACACAAGAGACACACCAACCAGCACCTACAGGAGTCGATTTCTGTGGCTAACAAACACTAGAAAATCAGGCGCAGAGTGGGAAGACACGATGAAGCATGCTCAGCTGGAGCAGTGAGGAAAGGCCTCTCTGCAAGTTGACATACAGCTGAGGCCTTCAAAAGGGAAGAAAACTGTACCCATGGGAGGAGAGAGGGTCCCAGTGTTCCTGCCAGACGGAACCCAACAATGATGACCCCCAGGAAGGACTGAGCCCAGATATCAGAGGAAGGGGAAGAGGACAGCAGCGAGTCAGAGGCACAATGTGGCCAGAAAACCATACCCTGCTGGGACGAGACTGCAGCCTGTTTCTGTAACCACCAGGTGGTAGGCACACCCAAGTGAGAAGAGGCTTGTCTGCATCTTCCTGCATCCTTCCCTACATATCACAGCCAAGGTCAGTGCCACTCCATCCCACCTCCCACTGAGCTGAAGCCACAGCTTAGGACAGCAAATAGCACTGCTCAGCAGGCACAGACCACAGGACAGAGAACAGGCTCTCATTACACCTAACTGGACAGCAGGAGACAACTTTTCTAGAACCTATCCACTCTAAAGATTAGAGGACAAACATGTTAGACCATAGGCTGGAATTCACTTCCAGAGTCTGACACGGTAAGCCTGAGGCTTTATGGTCTATACACATCCATAAGTGTGCGTGTACATATACACCGACCTCAAGAGGATTTGTGTGGGCAACAAACACCCCTATTTAAAGTCTCAACTTGTAAGTTTCAATTTATTGTCCATGTCCACATCTACTATACCACCCATGTCTGGCACTATGCCACAGCAGAGCCTGAGCCCCAGTTCTACCCCTCCATCCCCAGGGGTTGGGGGGCAATGCCAGCCTCAAGCACCCACCAAGGCCGGGGCATGGTGTTTACGTTCCTCTGCAGACAGACACCTGGGCAGACAAGGAATCCACTCTCAATGGCCTCTCCTCCTCCACCTTCTGCACCTCCCCAGGAGTCTCTGTTCTTCTCCCCAAGTCTTCCTCTCCTTTACAACCCAACTCTGACTGCTGCCCAGTAGAGTCACCAAGTCCTCAACCCACACCTCTTCTTTTCTAACTTCCTCTACAGAAGTCATTCACTCCTATGGCTGCAACGAGGAGGGCATGGTAGGAAGAGGGCAGTGAGGCTAGCCAGACCTAAGAATCACACCCGGGGCCCCCCTCATAAGCTGCCCAGTGAGACAGGTTCAGCCCCCTCACTGGTTGTCAATCCCCAGCTCAGGGGGCCTGGCCAGGGCAGGCTAAGTACACCCCCTGACCCTCAGATGTCTTCCCTTTCAATCCCAGCCTCCAACCACCCGAAAAAGCTGCCTTCTCAAAGAGACCTCACCGTATCACTCTGAGTTTGGGTTGGAGGTGGGTTCAGGTAAATAAAGGGATGAAGTGCCGCTGCCCTGAAAGGTAGAAAGGGAACCACTCACATAAGCCAAATGGGGAAGAAAAAGGGTCCTAGATGACTTCACCAAGGGCGTATCGTGCGAGCAAGGGTTCTCCATCTACGCTAATCACTCTGCAAGGCTGAAGGAGAGATGAGCACCGCGCAGGGGAGTGTCTCCTTCCTCTAGGTGCCCACACCGGCCTGAGCACGGCTCCCTTGGGCACGCAATAGGTGGCACCCTGGGTGGGAACTGGTCTTCGGTGCCCACCAGAGCCCTGAACACGACAGGGACTGCATCTGGCTCCCCGCTCTGCCCCCAAGTCCTCGTACAACGCCTGAGACAAAGCGACGTGTGATGAGAGAGCACGTCCTCCTCTTCCAGAGGGGGGATAACAAGACAGCCCGTCAGCTGAAAACCACCTCCCCGCAGAGCGTCGGCAGAGCAGAGGCACAGCTACGGATGCAAGGGGTCAAGGCGGCCGCCCTCCTCACCGGGCGCGGGCCCTTTCCTACAGGTCCCCACACCCGGCGACCCCCTTCACACAGGAAGGAAGCGAGACGCCGTCACTCCCCAGGCGACCGGCCTTCAAGACGGGGCCACAGGCGCGCCCCGTGGGCAGAGGGAGATGACGGCCGCCTGACTCCGTTCTGATGCCGCGATGCCGCGGCCCAGCAGCGCTACTCCCAAGACAGCTCGGGCCGACGGGCTGGCCGCACCGCCAACGGGCCGGGCTCGGCGCGCGCGGCACTGACCCCAGAGCGCGGCCCTCCGGTTCCGGCCGCCGGAAACTGCAGTCCGCGGGCCGGAAGCTGCCGGCGCACCTCGCCCCCGCCTCGCGCGCGCCCGGCCCCCGCGTGGCGCTACCAACGGCCGCGGACGCCCGCGCAGAGCCGGGGAGTGACGGTCGCGTCTCGGAAAAACCATCGGGGCCCTGGCCGGGCCGATGACCCGCTCCCGCCAGCGGAGCGGCTGCGCGCGGTCTCGGGGGACTCACTTACGAGAGCTATGGTTGCCGTCGCCATCTTGCGTCCGTCGCGGCCGCCGGGCGCGCCACACGGGGCTAGTCCCTCCGCTGTCTCGCGCGATCTGGGTATCACAGGAGACGCCCGGAAAAGATGGAACTCTCGCGATAAAAGTCCCTTTTGCCGGGGACGTGATAGGAAAGGAACGCGCTTCCGGTGCAGGAGGGCCAGTTAACGACCGAGAGGGGCGGGGCCAGGGGCGGGGCACCGCAGTCCTGTTCTGCTACCCGCCGGACCCACTCTGCTCGCGGAGAACTGCCGAAACCCTGTTGGCCCCTCGCTTCAGCTCCTAACCCCCTCCAGCCGGGGTTCCATCTCTCTGCCTCCTTTACAGAAAAACTTAGGTAATGTCCCCCTTCCCCGGCCCCATCCCCTTCCAGGGCCGAAGGAGTCCCACCCGCCCGAACGATCAAGTTGAGAGGGGTGACAAAGAACCGCCATATTTCAGTCACTTTGAGATGCACCTTATTTGCATCGTGACACCTCTGAAGTAAGGATGTGCCTACCAATGGATGGCCGTGTCCTCCTTTAACTGGCAGCATTTTCTCCTTCCTAGTAATACATAAAACAGCAGTGCACCTTAACTGATGGCCTTGTGAATTCAATGACATTCAGTCTCAGCACTGCAACCCAAGACAGGCCTGTGAACCAGTCCGGTGGGAGGGGTGCGCACCCAGAGTCCCCTTAGTTCTAGAACTATTTTTTAAAGGCTGCAGGCATCCGGCCATGGCTTTCAGATGTCCTGGGTATGTGCTGCATGCTGCACCCAAGACCCTATCTCAGTAAAGAAACCCCATCTGAAGCTCAGGCCCTGAGGTCATCAGTCCAGCAACTTCAGCCTGCCTGAGGCAACATAGTTCTCCCCAACTCAACCCTGGGAAAGTTTAAAATGAAATACAGACACTTCTAGTTAAACACAGCAGATTCTTTCCCCCTTCTAAAATGATAGGAAAAAGACTGTATAAAGGCAAAAACCCATGCAGACAGAGGTGGAAAGTTGTGGAGCTAGAGGAAGGCAGACAGAAGGGAGGTTCGGGAGAATGGCTTGGCTAGATCCCTGGCCTCCAATCTCACCAAGCAGTAAGCATACAACTAAGGCCATCTCATTGTTAAATGCGACTGGGCAGCCTGGAAACACCAGACACCTGAGGAAAAGGGTGGGGAGTGGGGAGGAAGGGACTAGGAATGGAGAAAATTAAGCAGCAGAATGCATATCCTCAGTAATATGGTGGGGGGGGGAGGTTGTATATAAAAAGAACAAAAAGCTACAAAAAAATTCAGCAAAGGAAAAAGCACACAAATGAAAAATGAGAGGAAAATGAAAAATTCAATACAAGGGTTGAAAGTTGAAATCTTCTACAATGTGTAACAGTACTAGGTAACTAGAAAACGAAATGTAATCGTAACCACACTGGTCAGCACTCTTCAGAGCATAGAGCTGGCCTGGCACCTCAGAGGTCTCCATAACAGGGTGTGTGTGAAGGGGTAGCTGGGCTAGGACTTCACCACCACTACTAGGGGGTGGGAGGGGCACAAGCACCACCCTCTGGTGGCAGCTTCCCCTCTGAATGTTGGTGTGATGGATAATAGGGCACTCAGAGTGCTGGCGTGGCTGGACACTTGTCACTGGGTCACACACATTAATTCATAGGGTGCTCTTGGCCCCACAGAGGGGGTACTGTTATTATCCCTATGTTTACAGATTAGGAAGTGAAGGTACAATATCACAGCAGGAAGCAGCAGAAGGGATCCAGAGTCTGTGCTCTTAACCACCATGTATTGTGCCTCTCAGAAGATAAATCCAACATCTAAATAATAAGGGTTGCACAAAATAAGGAGAGGGGAGAAGTCAGCAAAAAAAGAAAGTACATTTCCTAAACTGAAGGGTCAGGATCTCTGGACAATAGTGAAAAGAGGTCTACCTCATAAACACATCACTGAGAACTTCCAAAGCAAAGAGAAAATTTGGTGGGGAGGGGCTCAAAGACAAGCGCCAGAGTTCAGAAAGGCACAGGGGTTCTTAGCTCTAGAGGAAAATGACATGATACCCTCAAAACCGTGGGAAAAGGTAATTTTCAATATAGCCAAAGCTTTGTGCCTACTTACACCAACAAGCAGATATAGGAGTAGAATAAAGACAGGCATAGCTTCCCACATACCCTCTCGGGAAACTTGGAGGGCGTTGCGCTTCATACAGAGGGCCTATGAAGGGAGAGGGAAGTGTGGGGTCCAGAGACAAGAGAAAGGAGGTGCACTGGCCGCTGCTGAGGGAGCGACCCATGCTGGCAGCTGGGCCACAGGCCCAAGAACAAGCAGCCTGGGCAGAGAGCTGACGTGGTAGACTCCAGGAAAAGATGGAACTGAGAAGCCAACTATGCAACAAATCCCAAATATTGAGAGACGTTCACATTTCTACAGGAGAATCTAAGGATGAATCAATGATACATGTATAGAAAACCAAGCCAGCAAACCAAAAAGGCAATTACTAACTCCAGGGAAAACAGAAAATTATGCAAGAAAGCAAATATAATCCTAAGCACACCTTGCTCTCTGCTGAGGCCTGTGGTAATGAAGCTGTAGTAATACCCATTACACTGGGTATAATGTCCACACTGGGATGATGCTGGTTCAGGAGATCGAGGCCAGTGACCCCCCTTTCCCTCCAGAGTGGGAAACACCCAATGTAGAAAATCCAATAGAAAGCAGTAAAACGTGGGTGGCTTTGTGAAACTTGGCTTTTGAATGCCTTAGGAAACAGGTGAGAGAGTTCGGCTTGGATCAGGGTTGGAGACTGCATGTACTATTTATTCATTATCAGCCTTAAAAAACCATTGCACTTTTAAAATAATATGTATATAACTGAAAAGATAAAAGTTAAAGTGAAAACCCCAACATAGGCATGATTAAATGAAGTGGTAGTGTTGACACTTCTGGGCTCAGTTTAATCAACGGAACAATCTGTTAGGCATTTGACACTCAAACCGCTTAAGACAATGGAGAATCAGACAGCTTACCATCAGGATTTCCAACTAGACAGGTAAGTTACTTTAGATTTGTAATTTTTAGTTGAAAGGTGTGAAAATTTGAATAAATTTCTAAAGAGTACTTGAATATTTAACATAACTTAAGACTCACTCTGCTTGTACATTTAGTTTGATATGCCCTGGTAACTTGTATTTTGGTTTTTTGTTAGGATGATGTAGTAGGTGGGATAATGAACCCCTACCTACCCCAAAGATGTCCATGCCCTAGGCCCTGGACCTGTGAATGTTAGTTTATATGACAAAAGGTATTTTGCAGCCAAGATTAAAATTAAGGACCTTAAGATGGGAGGGTTATCCTGGATTACTGAGGGGGACCCAACCTAATTACATGAAGCTTTCCCAGCTCCAGAAAAACAGACAAATGGTTCATGAGAGAGATTCAGCTTGCTATTGCTGGCTTTGAAGATGGAGGATGGGGCCATGAGCCGAGGAATGTGGTGGCCTCTAGAAGCTGAGAATGGCCTTCAGCTTATAGCAGGCAAGAAATGGTGGACCTTGCCCCACCACTGCAAGGAACAGATTCTTGCCCAGCACTCATGACACCTGCAGGCCAAAGGACCTGAAGGAGCAGGAAATGGATTCTCTCCTGGAACCTTCAGAAAGGAATGCAGCCTTGATAACACCTTGGTTTTAGTCTGGTGAGACTTATACCAGACTTCTGAACTGTATAACTATAATAAACCTGTGTTGTTTTAACCTAAGTTTGTGATAAATTCTTATAACAGCAATAGAAAACGAATACAGGTGAGCTTTCCTGGTTTGACACTTAAAATGCTTGAAAAGAAACCTGAATGCACTAAATTTACACATGCAATTTAAAATTATGAAGAATGTTTAACTAAATCTGAAAATGGAAGAGAGGTTATCCAAGAGAACTGAGGCCAGGGCCGCGGAGGCAGGAGGGAGCCGAGTGGGAAAGACTGGGAGCTGGGAGCTGAGGTGCTCAGGACCGGGAGGCACAGTGAGGAGCAGGGAGGGCACCTGCGACGAGACTCCCCCTCTGGGACAGGGAGCACAGGAGAGAGAACCCTTTGCAGGGGCTGCAGGGGGAGGCAGAGCCCAGTCTCAGAGCAGTGGGAAGGCAGGGAGGCTCCAGGATGGGTCTGCATTGGGGGTGCGGTGCAAGAGCCACATGGAGCTGGGAACTCGGGCTTCTTGAAGTGGCTCTGCCACCTGCTTCTCCTGCCAGGTCATGGCCCTGCCCCTCACCCAGCACCTGCCTGACACCTGCAGGCGCTTTGCCATTGGCTTGAGGTAGGGGTCCCTTGGCTCTGATACCAACAGGATGAAGTGTTTCCCTGGGCAGACTTCTGTCCAGGACTGACACCCCCATCACTGGCCAACAGTGGCTCACTGTGGGGCAGCCTCCCCATGCAGAGGAGCTTGGGGCGTACTCTTGGCCAGAGAACAGAAGGTATGGGAAGGCTGCTGAGTTGAGGAAGCAAGCTGAGTGGGGGAATCCTAATCCTAAGGACTAATCACTCTCCCCACCCCCAAGCCAGGCTCACTCACCCACTGATGGGCCCCCCTGTTGGGCTTAAGGTCACCACCCTCACCCCAACCCCCACCCAGGACCTCTCAAAGCTGTGGAAGGTGGAGGTTCCCCAGTAGCCAGTGTTTGGTTCCCCAGGCACACAGGCAGAAGGCTGTCCCCAGTCCCACCAACACCAGGCCAATGCAGAGCTTCCCAGCGTGGGCTGCCAGGGCTGGTCCCTGGGAGCTGGGGTGCATGGTCACAGCTGAGCTCCACGGTACTTGAGGAGGGCGCTCTCCAAGAAGGCGGCCAGCTTTGTCCGGTCATCCTGCGGGGCAGGAGGAAGGCATGGCGGGGACAGAGGGGCACAGTCCACCCCACACCTACCCAGCCTGCCCCGCCTGCACACCTCGTGGACGAAGCCATAATGCACGAGCTCAGCGGCGAGATCCTGGGCACTGTCAGCTGTGGCAGGGGCGTGGGGACTAGGTGTGAGGTCCCGCCGCAGACGCCCACCCCACCTCTGCCCGGGGACGCCACCCAGCCTACTTGGGAGCAGGTCGTAAGTAAGCTGCCGGTGCAGCCGGTCCTCCAACACCAGAAGCAGAGTGAGCTGGGGGATGGGGAGGCCCGGTCAGTGCCCAGAGCCAGGCCCGCCCCCCACGCTCCCCCCGCCAGGCCCTGCTCACATGCCAGCGCGCCCTGTCCTCGCTGCTCTCCAGGTTACACTGCATCTGGATCACCTGGGGGTGTGCAGGAGACCAGGGGCGCCCTCAAAGGCTTGACATCAGCAACTGAGCAGCAAGAGCACATGCTGCCTCAAAGGGGCCCAGAAGGGACAGTAATGGGGAAATTCTCTAAGGGGACCCTAGAAAGCACGTCTCACTGCTAGCAGCCTGGGGAGTTAAGGAAAGGAGACATTGAGGCTGGGTACTAAAGGATGAATAGGAGTTTGCACAAGTGGGAAGTGGCTAGGGAGAAGTCAGCAGAAGCACGAGGCTCAGCCCCAGAGAGACTAGGGGTCAGACAGAGGACCCTACAATCTCTGGGGCAGCTGTGGCTGTTAATTCTGGATTCTGGCTGCACTGTGGAGGGTAGTCAGGAAGGAGGCAAAGCAGCAGGTTGGCACAGCGCCCATGTAGGGAACAGTGGGTATGGTGGTGACCATGGAGACACAACTTTGGCCAAAGCCAAAGCCTCTGTAGCCCAGGGGGTGTGGACAGGGAAAGGCAGGCTGGGGCTGAGGCTGGCCAGGGCCGGCAAGGAGGGAGCTTTGCAGGTGGAGGGGTGGGGGTAAACAAAACGCATGGGGGGGGGGTCTCAAAGGAGACACCAGGATACAAATGCCAGGGAACCAGCAAGCCAAGGGGGTAAAATCAGAGAGGGCCGGGTTGGGCAAGGTCCCCAGACAAAGCCTGCTTGGGCCACAGAGGGACTGGGGGCAACACGGATGGGGGCAGGCAGGAATGCAGAGGGGACTGCAGAAGGTAAAGAGCCTCTGGGGAAGGGGGTGTCTTGGCTCATCCTACCACCCCCAGCCCTCACAAAGGGGCAGTCAGGACCTGGTCTCTGGGAGCCTGGAAGGACTCAGAGCTCCTGAGAAGGGCACTCCTCTGGGCAGTGGACAGACCTGAGGGCTGGCAGTGCAGCAGGGGCAGGGGCTCACCTTTCTGGTCTCTGAGTCAAAGGGTTCTGGTGTTGGGGTCTTAGCCTTTTGGGCCTCTTCAGGAAGTGGGGCCAACACACGGGGCAGCCCCAGGGGCCGAGCAGCAGCAAAGTTCATCAGTGGGTAGATTCCATTCCTGGGAACACACCAGGGGTGGTGGCAGGAAGCTCTGGCCTGGCAGCTGCCCACTCCCCAGCCTCACGCTAGCTCTTACCTGACATCCTCCAGAAATTTATCCAACTCCAAGCAGGAGACCTCTGAGTACCTGGGACAAGTGCGAAAAGCACATGAGGGTAGCCAGGCTGCCTGCCCTGCCAGCAGCACAGGGCTAGATGAGGCTGGCCAGGCAAGAGGGCAGGCCTCTGGTGACAACGCTGCTCACCTCCACTGGAGTGGGGGCCGGCGGGGCCGAGGTATCTCTGCCAGGATGGCATGCAGATCCATAGCCTTGGTCTTTTCCTCTACCACATTTTCAGGCATAAGGTCTGCCGGCCACAGGAGTACCCAGGATGGCAGGCCCTGAGCCGCGGTTCCTGCAGATGCCCTTCCCGCATCCCGCCCCAGGCCCTCAGCCCGCCCCAGGCCTGCCTGCCCCTCACACTGGTGCTGGATGAAGCAGTGGGCTGCCAGGAGCTTCAGGGAGTGCACTTCGAAGAGCACGCGGTGGGAGAGGAGGTTGTGGGCAGAGGGCCGGAGGGCAGGGTCCCGGGCCAGGCAGGAGAGGATGAACTCCTGGGGTCATGGAGAGGAAAGGCAGAAATGTGCAGTCTCTCTGCTCTGGCCCCACAGTGTGAGGAGAGGAGGTCCCTGAAGTCATGGAGCCCCAAGGGTCCGATCCCCATGGGCGCCTTCATGCACAGGGAGAGGCATCCTATTAGCAGCCAAGGTAGGGCCTGATTCCACAGACAGGACCATCGGCCCTGCACCCACAACTTTGCATGCTCTACTTCCTGTGACCCTCACAAAAATCATGGGCAGTAGGTACTGTCATCCCCAATTCACAGATGAAGTCTGCATTGCCAAGGGAGGGTGTCAGCCCCTGCCATGTGGCCCTGGGGCTGGGCAGAGTGCCAACAGATCAACCTAGATCCCTGGAGGTCAAGATATCCCAGCACGACTCCACCTACCCACAGCCGGACCCTCTTCTGGTTGCCGCAGCTCAGGCCCAACCCCAGAGATGACGTTGATGGGTCCCTGCCCCAGCCCACGTTCATGCCCTCTACTGGCTCTCACGCCTACCCTGTCTACCCTGTTTTTACCTGCCCACCAATCCCATCCAGGCCCCACTGCTTCCCTTCTCTGGTCCCCAGAGGCCGTGTGATTAAGCCAGACAGCTGCCAGGCTCTGGCTGGAGAGGCTATGGATGCAGCTTCCATCCCATATGCCCTTTGCCCACCCCCTGTATCCCCGCCCCAAGCTGGGGCCACACCACCTCTAGCCTGTCTCCTGGAAACTCAAAGGCAGGGACATGGAGCTGAGTGCGCCCAGGTGCAAACACTGGCTCCACCACTTACTCTAAAGCCTTGAGCAGAGTCCTTAGCCTCTCTGTGCCTCGGATTCTTATCTACAAACTGGGCACAACAATAGTACCCACACAGGGAGCATCTCTTCAGTCTCCCTGTCCTTAGACTATGCCCTGAGGGCCAAACTCAATGGCTCTGGGTAAGGCCCTCCTCGGATGGACCCTTGTACAGCAGGGCTGGCATATTCCCCAGCAGACCCCACTTGCTGTGCCTCTAGGCCCACCTTAAGCATCTCACCCGCCCTACGCAGGGCCAGTTGGGACAGGTAGGGCAAGGTGCTCACCCGCATGTTGGGGTCACGCAGGGAGTGCCTGGCTCGAGCGATGGCCTCCTCTGTGACCCGTGTGTCCCCATTGGCCTGGATCTCCAGCACAGCCATCTAGGGGCAAGGCCAGGTCAGTTGTGGGGAAGGGGCAGCAGGTAAGGGGGCAGAAGCCAGCTAGCTGGGAGGGGCCAGGAGGCCTCAGGGCTAGTTACCTCCAGCGCACACATCCCAAAGGAGAAGATGTCCACAGCAGTGCCATCAGCAACCTCTGGAAAGGGGGGCCGAGTCACCGAGGGAGCACGGATGCAGTGTACACTGGGGACCGCAGGGCCCTGCCACTCACCCCCGCACTCCGGAGGGAAAAAGTGCAGGTTCCGCGGTTCCTCGCGTTCAGTGCGGATGGGGCTCCGGAGATGGTCCGGGAGTGCTGAGGAGCGCGCGGGGGCTGAGCAGACTGGACCCTTCACAGCCCTCCATCCCCCCAGGACCCCCACGCACCATTGGAGAAGATGCGGTGCCACACTGCACCGGCAGCCGCGGGAAGGAAGAGCGGGCGTCAACGCGACCCAGCGCTCTGCGCCTCCTCCGCCCACGTTCCCAGTGGGTTCCCCGGCCCCCCCTGTCCAGCCCCGCCCCGCCAGCACCGGAGCCGATCTTGATGAGGCCATTGTGCTGTATGAAGATGGTGTCGCTGGTCAGGTTCCCATGGATGATGGGGGGACTGCAGGCGTGCAGAAAGCTGTGGGTCCAGAGGAGGAGAGTATAGACAGAGCCGGGTCAGGGGGCGCCTGGGAGGTGGGGGCGCGGCGGGGTGGCTAGCCGGCAAGCCCAGGCCCTCACCTGAGCGCCGACAGGATCTGCGTGCACCAGCGCTTCCAGGCCTGGCGGCAGACGGACTCCGTCGGACCGGCATGGGAGAGGCGGCTGGGCCTGAGGTGCCCGCCCCGCGCCCCCACCCCACGGCCAACCCCCTTCCTGACCGCGGAGGCGCCCTGCCCCCGTCCAGTCCCCGACGCCGCGCCAGCCCATTCCCCATACCCGGGCGTTCATGGCCTTGTGGTTCTTCTTGGTCTTTTTAAGAAATTGCTTGAGGCTGCCAGACGACACGTACTCTGTGATGAAGATGACCTGCGGGACGGGCGGGCTCGCGGGCTCCGCCAGCTGCGCGTGGGTCCCCAGGGCTGCCCCACCCACCGGTGGCCTGGTCCCGCCCCGTGTGGTGTGCCCGTGGCTCACCCGCGCCCGGGTTTCAGAGGCATCCAGCCAGTACTTGTGCAGCTTGACGATGTTGGGGTGGTCCACGAGCACCAGCTGCTCAAACATGGTCTGGATCTTGTCCTGGGAAGGGAAGGCTGTGGTCACGGGACGGGGGAGGCGGGGGGCAGGGTGGGATCGGGGCGGGCCTTACCTCGTGGGCCGCGAAGGCCTTCCTGTCGCCGAAATGCAACTCATTCCACACCACCTCCACCCCTTCCTCCGTGTCCATGGCCAGGAAGGTGCTTTGGACCCCAGGCATGTTCCCCTGGTTCACCTGGCGGTGGGGGCGGGGGCAGAGTGAAGTCTCGGTCTCCGCGCACACCCTGCCCCACGGACCCCGCTGTGCGATGCAAGGCCCCGGCCCGCCCTGCTGGGAAGCTGGGGACCCGGCGGGAGGCGGAGGGCGGGTCCCGGGGCCCAAAGAGCGGCATCCGCGGCTGGTCGCAGAGGCACCGGAAGACGGTCCTAGGGACGAGGCCGGCCCTCGGGGGCTCGGGGGCTCCTCTCCGGGTCAGGGGCCAGGGCCCGGCCCAAGAGGGGCTGCTGCGCGGGCCGCAGAGAGGCGGCGGACCTCCCGGCCCCGCGGCGCCGCCCGGCCCCCCGCAGCGCGCACCTGCTCCCGCCGCTTCTGCCAGCGGCCGCACGGGCTCTCCCCCAGGACGTCGTTCTCGTCCTCGCTCCCGTCCTCCCGCCCCCGGCCCGGCCGCGGCGCCGGCTCCGAGGTCGCCATGGCCCGGCGGGCGCAGGCCGCCGCCCTGCCGCTCAGGCCCGCCCTGGCCCCGCGCCCAGACGCCGAGCCCGGATCGCCGACCGCCGCCCCTCCGGAGCCGCCTCCTCGGGCCGCAGCCGGCGCGGACCTTCCCCGCCGAGGGCCTGGCAGGCGCCGCGCCCGCCGAGGGGCCGCCCGCGCGCCCCACCCATCCCGGGCCGGCGCCCTGCGCAGCGGGCCCCGCCCGGAGGCCCCGCCCACACGCCGAGGCCCCGCCCAGCCGCTGCGGGCGCTCCGGGCTGCGGGAAGCCCGGGACCCCCCGGCTACGCCGGGCGCCTGGCCCCAGGGCTTTCGGCTCCGGAACCTGCCCCGCCAGCCCCTAGAGCCGCGTGCTCTTCCCGCACCTCTTCGCCACCATGGGCCACACAGCAGGCCCCGGACCGCGGTTCGTTGCCTGGGGGCGAGCGGGCGGGGCGGGGCCGCTGCCTGAGGGCCTGGGACGCGGCGGGTGGAGCCCGTGCACGGTCCCTGAAGGTGACCCGAAAATACCCCAGTAGGCTGCGAGACGACTGATGCACCAGCACAAACCGCCCGCTGCGGGGCGGGCAATTCCGCTCCTCCCTTTGCGCTCGGGCAGCTGCTACATTCCAGGAGGGCTATTTTGTCTTCTCGAGCCGTGGGCCACAGGCGGGAGCCCCACCAGCACGCAGCCACTTCCCCTCCAGGAGCCCCCTCACCACGCCCTCTGTGCACATCAACCAGAGAATGCTCTGGAATTCTCTGCTAAAATCCTCCTTGTCCCGTAAGCCCCACTGCCTCCCCGTGGCCTCTGACCTCCCTCGTGTGGATTTCACAGCATCCTTCACTTTCCCTTTGTAGATAGAAAAGCAGTGCACACCCGCCTGCCTTCTCGCACACTTAGACCCCAACCCCTACTGCTGCTCCATCTCTGCTCGCTGGCCCTCAGCGCCGGCTGGTCTCTCGGCTCCCAACCTTCCCCAAAGCTGGCACCTGACCCGATTCCCGGCCTCCACTGCTGACATCCTTCTTCAGACGGTGTTGCTCACTGGGACCACCATTGGAACCTGCTCCCTTGCCCCTGCCTTGCCCAGCACCAGGCCATACAGCTAAAATGTCCTGAACTGGTCAGAATAATCCGTGTAGCAGAGGTGGAACCCTCAAGAGCAGGCCCTCTGTCCCCTGCCCCATCTACACACTCTTCACTAATGGCTGAAGTTCTAGGCTCTTCCAGGAGTCGCCAGCATGATCTGCTACAGCATAGGCCAAGGCTCTTCTGAGATACGGTTCTGTGCAGCCCTAGATTTGGTATGCTTATTTTCCTTGTTTAATCTCTTAAGTCTGAGACAGGGACCATGGGCTGAGACAGAGTAGGGTGAGGGCCTCCGGAAAAAGCAAGGCAAGATATTTACAGTCAAAGCAATGTAACATTGTAAAGTCCCTATCGAAACTCTGTGTTCAGCATTATGCAAAGTCAAGGTCACACTAATTCTCTGGGGTAAAGATACCAGACTAGGAATACAGACATCTTCAGTGAGATCAGTTAAAGGTCAAAAGGCCAGGAGCAACTTGGCCTGGAATGTTTGAGTGTTCTGCAAGGGTATCTCAGCATAACCTGTGACTTCACTGTAAACAACCCTAGCAAACAGACAACAACCCAGCCCACCTTGAGGGCAGGGCAGGTGGCACAAGTCCACACCCTAAGCCCTCAATTCCCAAAAATCCTCAACTGCCTATAAAACCCCTAGACAACGCACCATCCCGGGCTGTCTTGTCCCTCCTGGTGTGAACTAGGAGCTCTGTCTGTCCTCTCACTGTATCTATCTCTCAATAAAAGTCTCCCTGGCTCTCCTGCCTTGACTGTTTGCTAAGTTCATTCTTTGACTCCCCATAAAAGAACCCCAGCATCAAATCTACAATGAGAAAAAGCAGTTTTCTGGATGAATCTTCAGAAAACAGAATTAAAGAAGAGAGCTTTGTTCACATATACGTTTCATGGTAAACTGTAAATGCCATGTCTCCAAAACAAAGCCAGTCAGCCTGTCCATGATGGGCATCTCTACTCGGAAGAGTTGCACCAAGAGCAGACTCAGCAAGTGCCTTCTAAGTACAGCAAACCACAGCAGAAGGACCCCAATATGACAGCCACCAGCAACATAACATAGCAACTAATGGGAAAAGAGTTCAAACAGGAAAATTGTGTCATAATTGACAGGATATCAAAGTCATTTAATAAAATCAACACAATAAATTGTACATATACCCTTCCGTGTATTATGGAAAGTTTCACAAGAGATTCTTCATTACAAGAGAAACACAGGGACGATCACATGCCAATCATGCATGAAATAAAAAAGGACGAGTAATGAAAGAAAGGGAACACCACAATGTGCCCAGGTACTACGAAAAAGCACACCGTCAATGACCCCTGAACCTTTGGTAACCACGAATCTAAACCTGCAATGGCAATAAGTACATACCTATCGATAATCACCCTAAACGTAAATGGTCTGAATGCACCAATCAAAAGACATAGAGTCACTGAATGGATAAAAAACGAGACTCATCTTTATGCTGCCTACAAGAGACTCGCTTCAAACCCAAAGACACACACAGACTGAAAGTGAAGGAATGGAAAAAGATATTTCATGCAACTAACAGGGAGAAAAAAGCAGGAGTTGCAGTACTTTTATCAGACAAGATAGACTTCAAAACAAAGAAAGTCACAAGAGACAAGGAAGGACATTACATAATGATAAAGGGGTCAGTCCAACAAGAGGATATAACCATTCTAAATATATATGCACCCAACACAGGAGCACCAGCATATGTGAAACAAATACTAACAGAATTAAAGGGGGAAATAGAATGCAATGCATTCATTTTAGGAGACTTCAACACACCACTCAGTCCAAAGGACGGATCCACCTGAAGAAAATAAGTAAAGAAACAGAGGAACTGAACAACATATTAGAACAGATGAACCTAATGGAAATCTACAAAACACTTCATCCAAAAGCAACAGGGTACACATTTTTCTCAAGTGCACATGGAACATTCTCCAGAATAGACCACATACTAGGCCACAAAAAGAAACTCAGTAAATTCAAAAACATTGAAATTGTACCAACCAGCTTCTCAGATCACAAAGGTATGAAACTAGAAATAAATTACACACACACAAAATGAAAAAGCCCACAAACACATGGAGGCTTAATAACATGCTCCTAAATAATCAATGGCTCAATGCTCAAATAAAAACAGAGATCAAGCAATATATGGAGACAAATGACAACAATAATTCAACAACACAAAATCTGTAGGATGCAGCGAAGGCCGTACTAAGAGGGAAATATATTGCAATACAGGCCTACCTCAGGAAAGAACAATCCCACATGAAGAGTCTAAACTCACAATTAACAAAACTAGAAAAAGAAGAACAAATGAGACCCAAAGTCAGTAGAAGGACAGACATAATAAACATTAGAGCAAAACTAAATAAAATTGGGAAGAATAAAACAATAGAAAGAATCAATGAAAGCAGGAGCTGGTTCTTTGAAAAAATAAACAAAATAGATAAACCCCTAGCCTTATTACGAAAAAAAGAGAATCTACAGACATAAACAGAATCAGAAATGAGAAAGGAAAAATCACTATGGACACCACAGAAATACAAAGAATTATGAGACAATACTATGAAAAATTATAAGGTAACAAACTGGATGACCTAGAAGAAATGGACAACTTTCTATAAAAGTACAACCTTCCAAGGCTGACCCATAAAGAAACAGAAAATCTGAACAGACCAATCACCAGCAACAAAATTGAACTGGTAATCAAAAAACTACCTAAGAATAAAACTTCTGTACCAGATGGTTTCACTGCTGAATTTTATCAAACATTTAGTGAAGACTGAATACCCATCCTCCTTGAAGCTTTCCAAGAAGTAGAAGAGGAGGGAATACTCCCAAACTCATTCTACAAGCCCATCAACACTCTAATACCACAACCAGGCAAAGACACCACCAAAAAAGAAAATTACAGACCAATATCCCTGATGAACACAGATGCAAAACTAAAGAAAATATTAGCAAACCAAATTCAGAAATACATCAAAAAGATCATCCATCATGATCAAGTGGGATTCATCCCAGAGATGAAAGGATGGAACAACATTTGAAAATCCATCAACATCATCCACCACATCAAAAAAAGCAAGGGCATAAACTATATGATCATCTCCATAGATGCTAAAAAAGCAATCAACAAAATTAAACATCCATTCATGATAAAAACTTTCAACAAAATGGGTATAGATGGCAAGTACCTCAACATCATAAAGGCCATATATGACAAACCCACAGCCAACATTATACTGAACAGTGAGAACCTGAAGGCTTTTCCTTTAAGATCAGGAACAAGACAGGGATGCCCATTCTCCCCACTTTTATTCAACATAGTACTGGAGGTTCTAGCCACGGCAATCAGACAACACAAAGAAATAAAAGTCATCCAGATTGGCAAGGAAGAAGTCAAACTGCCCCTGTTTGCAGATGACATGATACTGTACATAAAAAACCCTAAAGAATCCACTCCAAAACTACTAGATCAAATATCTGAATTCAGCGAAGTTGCAGGATACAAAATGAATACACAGAAATCTGTTGCATTCCTATACACAAAAGATGAACTGGCAGAAAGAGAAATCAGGAAAACAATTCCATTCACAATTGCATCAAAAAGAATAAAAAACTAGGAATAAACCTAACCAAGGAAGTGAAAGACCTATACCCTGAAAACTATAAGACACTCTAAAGAGAAATTAAAGAGGACACTAATAAATGGAAATTCATCCCATGCTCCTGGCTAGGAAAAATTAATATCATCAAAATGGCCATCCTGCCTAAAGCAATCTATAGATTCAATGCAATCCCTATCAAAATACCTACAGCATTCTTCAACGAACTAGAGCAAATAGTTCTAAAATTCATATGGAACCACAAAGGACCCTGAATAGCCAAAGCAATCCTGAGAAGGAAGAATAAAGCAGGGGAATTAAGCTCCCTGACTTCAAGCTCTATTACAAAGCCACAGTAATCATGACAATGTGGTACTGGCACAAGAACAGACCCACAGACCAGTGGAACAGAATAGAGAGTCCAGATATTAACCAAAACATATATGGTCAATTAATATATGATAAAGGAGCCATGGATATACAATGGGTAAATGACAGCCTCTTCAACAGCTGGTGTTGGCAAAACTGGACAGCTTCATTTCAGAGAATGAAACTGGATTTTTGTCTAACCCCATACACAAAAGTAATCTCAAAATGGATCAAAGACCTGAATGTAAGTCATGAAACCATAAAACTCTTAGAAAAAACATAGGCAGAAATCTCTTGGACATAAACATGAGCAACTTCTTCATGAACATATCTCCCCAGGCAAGGAAAACAAAAGCAAAAATGAACAAGTGGGACTATATCAAACTAAAAAACTTCTGTACAGCGAAGGACACCATCAACAGAACAAAAAGACATCCTACACTATGGGAGAATATATTCATAAATGACATATCCGATAAGGAATTGACATCCAAATTACATAAAGAGCCCACATGCCTCAACAAACAAAAAGCAAATAAGTCAATTAAAAAATGGGCAGAGGAGCTGAACAGACACTTCTCCAAAGAAGAAATTCAGATGACCAACGGACACATGAAAAGATGCTCCACATCACTTGTCATCAGAGAAATGCAAATTAAAACCACAATGAGATATCACCTCACACCAGTAAGGATGGCCACCATCCAAAAGACAAACAGCAACAAATGTTGGCAAGGATATGGAGAAAGAGGAACCCTCCTACACTGCTGGTGGGAATGTAAACTAGCTCAACCATTGTGGAAAGCAGTATGGAGGTTCCTCCAAAAACTAAAAATAGAAATACCATTTGACCCAGGAATTCCACTCCTAGGAATTTACCCTAAGAATGCAGGAGCCCAGTTTGAGAAAGACATATGCACCCCTATGTTTATTGCAGCACTATTTACAATAGCCAAGAAATGGAAGCAACCTAAGTGTCCATCAGTAGATGAATGGATAAAGAAGATGTGGTACATATACACAATGGAATATTATTCAGCCATAAGAAGAAAACAAATCCTCACATTTGCAACAACATGGATGGAGCTAGAGGGTATTGTGCTCAGTGAAATAAGCCAGGCGGAGAAAGACAAGTACCAAATGATTTCACTCATCTGCAGAGTATAATAACAAAGAAAAACCTGAAGGAACAAAATAGCAGCAGACTCACAGAACCCAAGAATGGACTAACAGTTACCAAAGGGAAAGGGACTGGGCAGGAGGGGTGGGAAGGGAGGGATAAGGGGGGAAAATGGGCATTACAATTAGCAGACACAATGTAGGGGGAAC